TATAAGCCTTCACTATCGAGAGTTTTGAACGGTCGACGTAAGGTTAAAACGAAGGTATTATTTTAGCCTTACGAACTCCAAAATATATTGTTCGTTATCTTAGTACAACACAACATTAAGTCTCATATATATTATAACAGTTACTCAGTCTCTTATCATGAGATATATGAATAATCTTAGTATATTAGATGTTGAGAGTCAACAGACCACTTTATGGGAAACGTGTGAAAAACAAATAAAGCATGATGAAAATATGGAGAAACTTTTGATACGACTTATGAATCATTTTTGTGATTATACAGATCCTAAATGAACACTGGTCGTAACTGCTAGGCGTAGATATTTCTAAAAAAAAGCCCATTTGACAGCGCTTCTTTTTAATAAAAATAAATCGGTGACACATAACAGAAACGCGTGTGTTCCACTTGCGTGAAAATTATGTAATTAGATTACAACAAAATAATATACAGAAATAAAATGGAATATTGTTATCTATCATGTTAGCTAATTACATATATAAATAAACTTGAGATTGAAAAGTGGGTAGAACCTATCAGAGACAGCTACTTTTTATCATCATCAATGGCTATACAGCCCCTTGTGGGCCTTAGCAAGTATATTTTGCCATCGCAATCTATTTCGTGCTTCTTGCGTCCAACTTCGAACACCTATTATTTCAAACGCAGCGTCGGTCTACCGGGTTTTCTCTTCCCAAGGTTGTGAGTTCAGTAAGGACCTTGGGGTTCAGTCGTCCGACATTCGGTCGCAACTACTTGAGCCTGTTGCATTTTACGAATTGCACGATGTTGGCGTCGTCAACGATGTTATAAAGTTCTTCATTGAAGCGAATACTCCAAACACCGTCATCGCAAATAGAGCCAAAATTTCTTCGTAGAATCTTCCGCTCGAAAGTATGGACCAAGCTCGTCCTTCTAGTTAAGAGCCTAGGTTTCAGAAGCATAAGTGAGCACTGGTCGCAGAAGAGTTTTGTACAGAACAAGCTTTTTTCCACTTAACAAATATAACGTAAGACTTACATCACGTTAATGCTTTAGAATAATTCAATACAAACAATGATTCGATCAATGTCAATGAATATTTTTTCGTGGAATTGATGGATCTTACCATGCTCACTTCCTCGTTTCAAAATACTATTCAGAGGCAATGGTTAATTTTATTATTTACAAACAAACAAATTATTATAATATCCCAATTCGACATGGGTGGACTTCTCAGTATCTTTTTATCTTAATTTTATAAACGCTTCTCAGTTGAAGTTCTTATATTTAAACTTACCCAATAACTTCTACTGGTGGCACGTCCATTTTGTCTTTTAACTTATATTTAGTCATGTTTCAACATAATTTAGATTCGATGTGTATACGAACCGAGTGGATACTGAAATGTTTACCATACGAAGTTGAGAGGCATATAACAATGGTTTCACGGAAAATTATACCAGTAGTTATACAATACATCGTCGAATCCTTAAACAATACAGTATATTAAGCGATATATTTGACGTACTCTATGGTTTATATTTACTTTATTATAATCAGCGGGTATGAATTTATATATTAGCCTAGAAATCATTGAGAATTATTAAATTATTATTAAGACACCCAGATATTATTAGCGAGTGTTTTAATGGAATAGATATAGTATAATAATAATATATTTTATTTTTTGAGCAGTGTTGGCCTAGTGGCTTCAGCGTGCGACTCTCATCCCTGAGGTCGTAGGTTCGATCCCCGGCTGTGCACCAATGGGCTTTCTTTCTATGTGCGCATTTAACATTTGCTCGAACGGTGAAGGAAAACATCGTGAGGAAACCGACATGTCTAAGACCCAAAACGTCGACGGCGTGTGTCAGGCACTGGAGGCTGATAACCTACTTGTCTATTAGATTTAAAAATGATCATGAAACAGATTCAGATCTGAGGCCAAGACTTAAAGAGGTTGTAGCGCCACTGATTTATTTTATTTACCTCTTCACAATATTGCATTATACGGGTTTACATGCTGCAGGTATTGATCTTTGTCAGAGACTAGTGCCTATAATAGGACTTAAGAATTCCTGTGGTCACCAGCCTTCCATCGCGGATAGAAAATGTACAAAACATGAATACATACTATGACTTACTTAGTAATAAACAAAATAAAACTGAAGCATCAGTGGTTGTGGGTGTGTGAAAGAATTTAATTTAAAGTTAAAAGAAAACATAAAGGTCAAACTTAAAAACTAACATCGGTGGCCGAGGAATGGAATTTCAAAGACTATATCTTGTTGAATATCCCATAAAAATACATATTGGCCTTTATCATAGATAAAGAAATCTATCATAGAAAAGAGTATTCTACGATCTGACCCCGATTTAAAGATTAATACGCAAAAGATTAATACTGGATTAAAGAATCGTAACTTTTGTCTTTATCGCGACATATGCCGTAAGTTTTTAGAAATAAAAGTTTAACAGACTACACTTCAATGATTGACTTTTTGATAAAAGTGCTAAATGAATGCAACCAGTTTTTTAGCAGTTTTTCGAAAATTTTAATATATGGGCAAACATAACCAGCCTTATTCTAAAATGTGGACTAAAGATATTATCTTGCTCATCATCATGTGATAATTGGTAAAAATGGTAACCATGGTAACACATATTGTACTTTGGCAGACTGTCATGACAGTCAGAAAACCAAGTCAAATCTTCTATATATTAAAATTCTCGTGTCACAATGTTCGTTCCCGTACTCCTCCGAAACGGCTCAATTCAGTAAGTCTGAGAATTAGCTACTATCTATCTTTCAAACCCCTAAGTGATAAGAGGTGTCCACCCCAAATTTATTTTTTTTATTTTTTAGAAGATTTTTTTTGTTTTTTTTTTTTATGATACATCATACAAAAATACATACAACCCTTAATTTTCACCCCTCTACGACCAACCCCTATTTTTTATTATAGTAGATAGTTAAGTTTATTGAACTAAAAAAAATGTTTTCTAGAAATATGTAATATACATGGCAAAACAACGTTTTCCGGGTCAGCTAGTATTGTTATAAAAATCTAAACAAACACGACCAAACGACGAAAAACTTGGAATTAAGTACTTAATTTATATTTTATTATATTACTAAGTTTTACTTAATTTATATTTCCAAACATAACGCCATAATATATCGAATTTGTTCCTATAACAAATTGGCTATACATATACTTGTAACAGTTGGTCTAAAACCCCCCCAACATTTTAGTGTCATTGTTATAATTTATTACTCGGGTTCGATGACCGGGGTAACAATGTTGAATTAAGTTACTAGCAGTTAAAGACAAATGATTAGAGGCTCCTGTGTAATGTGCATTAAGAGATCTTACTCTGGGATATGACATATAAAATAAATAAAATTCTCAAAAACCACGAGCATTGTTTGTTGAAAGACAAAACATTTTATATTGTATTTATAGAAGGCTAAAATAAAAAACTGTGACCTCAAAGAAAACGGAAAATGTTGCAAAAAGTATTTATTTAGTAAGGGAAGAGGAAGTTAATTTTTTATTTAATACGCTCCATTGATCAAATTACAGTTCGATGAACAAGCTTAAGAATGTCGATTATTGTAAAATTAATTAAATAATTTCGCCGGATAAATGTATAAAATTAATAGATATAAAAGTTCATTGTAATAATTTGTTGGTTATTAAAATGTTGCATAGCGGTTGTATAACGGACGCCATAAACTTCAAAAACCTATGTTTTTTTGTTGTTTTTTTTTATGGCTCTGGCACGGTTTGTGCATTAGCCAGCGTCAAGTATAAGATTTTTATAATTCGTGCTTGCCTTAGAAATTCGACCGTGTCTTCCATGTACGGTTTAAGCACTCGCCCGGTACCGCACAACCCTCCCAAAGGCCGAGAACAAATTTAAATTAAATTAAAACTTGCCCTCGAACTGGGAATCGAACCCGATACCCCTCACCTAGCTGCCACCTACCTAACCTATGTAGTAATGTAAAAAACTAAAAAGTATAGTAGTCAGTAGAGTATAGTATGACATTGACAATTGACGTTATGTCAAAATTATACTCTATGCCAACATTATACTGTCTTTGACTCCGGCCACTGTAATACGATATCCACTTACACTCAATAAAACTTATCTTTAAATTTGTACTTTAAATTTATAGATATACAATAATATTCTGTTGACCAATGAAACAGCGAATAAACGTGCTGTTCTCCTCATTTCTGTATACCTGATAATTTTTTTCGCGGCTGAAGCTTTTCAGACTGCCTACCTACGCATGAGATATACTATAGATATACGGGTCACATTCATAATTCTGAATGATTTAAACGGATGTGTTCGACATTCAGATCAGGCGCAACACTTCACGCGCTCAATCATCAACATCGCCAACTTCCTAAAAGTTACTTTAGGAAGTTACTTTTCTTATTTGAATAATTGTCAAAATCAAAGGTTCGAACCCGACCTCACGAATGTGAAACGCAGTAAAATATGCTAACCGAAGCTAGGCAATAAATATACAGCAAACTCCTTTCAAAAATTTTGTAGCAAAATATCAAAACCTTGACTTTGCTCACATCTCGTCTGGGAACTTCCTTAGAACAATTACATTTCCTTAATTACGACATTATAAACTTGACCTATATATTACTTAATGAACCTTCAAACTTGAGGTCAGGTGACAGATCGCATATAAGGCAGCTATCGTTCTAAGATCGGTATACGTTCCGAGAATTATTTATGTAACGTGCGATCTACATTGCATCATAAACATGTCAATGAAATCTACATGTACGAGTATAAACTTTAAATAAGAAAAAGTATACGTGGAACAGAACATAATTTAAATATAATGCTGAAGTGGAACTGTCTATGTAAGACCATTCAGTTAGTCAGTGTGTTATTAGTTCAAGACTCTAAATAATTACTATAAGTAAGTGCAAGGTATTTTTGAAACAGCTGCCGGCACAGAATTTATTTACGCACAAACGATTGCAATATACGAAATCCAACATAGAACAAAGTAGTATATATACTTAGACGAACACCCTTCATTATATTAATTCCCGCAATCCATCTTGATACTGTACTGTCAGTATACAACGTTGGCCACTCTCCTTCACTGAGTTCCTCATATGTTTGCGCTTGTGGTCGTAAACAGCTCAACAAATGCAAGTATGCAGTATGCCCAGCTTCCAAAGCAGCTGCCACATCACCTTCAGCGAAAACATCTAATGCTCCCCACTCCAAAAGTCTACATCCAATCGTTGTAAGTTTTCTGAGCCCTACATAGTCTCCACATTTCGGAACAAACACGTCATGAATATCAGTTTCCTTATAGCTCACCAAATCACCCGCTTCCTCTCCAAACAATCGAATTAGCTGGTCTACTACAGCCTCTTTGTTATTTATTATATTATCCTTAACCTTCAAGTAGCCAACAAGCGCGGAAAATTTTTCTTGGCTACCAGTCGTCGACATTCTTGGACGTTCTGTTGCCCATATTATTGGCCCTCTAAGACTGAGAATATCACCACTATAACCGTAGCGTCTCCAAAAGTTTTCTTCATACTGAATAACAAATTTCTTCGCCTTTCCGGAACACATTGTCGATGCTATTTCATATTCCTTTCTTGACAACAAGTCCGAGCCCATTTGTATGTTTTTCAGCTGATCAGGTCTCAAGGCCATTGCAAGTAAACTGCAAATGTAGCTCGTCTCTCCTTTTATTCCGTTTAATATAACCTGCTCCTGAGAATAGGAACGGATTTCTTTAATTGTTTCAGCAGGATAAGTGATGCTGGCCACACTCTGTTGTAGTTTGCTTGTTAGGCGTTTTCGACAGAATCCTAATAGCTTCTCTCGCAATTTTGTGTTGTCTCCATCGAAATGATTTCTGGCACTGGCACTTCTGTAACATTGATGTAAGTAGAATAATAGAGATACCGAATCAGCAGATGCACCGCAGACGAGTCTCACTGTTAGTCGCATAATATCTCTGGATGAACTAAAGAGTAAAGAGTTGCAGAGATGTTCTTCCATCGCAGTTCGATCATAGTACAGTAACTGACACCTCTCAGACTCATCGTCTATTTTATGCGACTGAAAAAGACCTTTCATGTGTTGATCTAGCAACTCCTGGTATTGATTCAATTCAAACCTTTCTAGGAAATTTAAATAGTCGAAATCGTAAAAGTTTTCTCTACATTCAACTATACTGCCATTTGTGCATTCGAAAAGCTTTCTAAGATCACTTTTAAAGAAATCTGGAGCAATAATTGCGTCTGGAAGAGGAATGTTAAATTCTTTAGAGTATAAAGCTAAGTAGTATCTAGCGACATTGTCTAGTTTTTCTTTAGCTGTTCCTTCACAAATGTCATCTTTTCTTTCTTCTTCTTCTCTATCTTCTTGGAAAGCAACGTTGCATTTGGAGTCATTTTTTCTGGTCGTAGCAAGGTCTAGAACAACTATTTCCATTGAATCCCCAAACTTCTTTTTTAATTTGTGAGCAGTAACGATTCCTGGGAGACTGCATCCCAAAATTATAACATCAGCTATTACATGTTTACTTTGCTCAAAGTCAGAAAACGACTGCACCATATCACAGAAAATGAGTTTTTAAAAGCCAAAATGTTTATATATACAGAATTATAAGATTACAAAAATATTACGTTGACATTTTATGACATTTTTATTTTTTTCATCATTAACATTTCATTTATAGTCTATGAAAACTTGTCATTTATAACAGACAAACTTTAATAACATGAAAATACTGATTTGGTCTAGGTCACAAATCATTGTGGCTTTCAATTCGAAACAAAAGGTTTGTTTCCGAGAAACATACCAGAGATCTCTAGTTGAGACGTGCCTGTTACGCATTATTAACCCCAGAGAAAGGAGGAGAGATTAAACGCACCCTATCTATAACTAATTATAAAATAAAATATTACTGACAAATTAAGAATGGTCGAATGTTCGCCTACGTCTATAATATGTGACGTAACTTTATCATATGACGGCGCCGGCGCACTCGTCATTACCGCGCCCCTGACTCACTGACGTCGAGGTCAATGCCACAAAATCGTTACCGATTATGGAACTGATTAAATTAATCGCTCCTGATTAAGGTGCGAATGATTGTAGCGTAATTTCGTCTTCATATATTATTTAATTATAAAATGAGATAAAATACATAAGTCAGTGGCGCTACAACCTCTTTAGGTCTGGGCCTCATATTTCTGAATCTGATTCATGATCATTTTTAAATCTAACAGGCAAGTAGGTGATCAGCCTCCTGTGCCTGACACACACCGTCGACTTTTTGGGTCGGTTTCCTCACGATGTTTTCCTTCACCGTTCGAGCGAATGTTAAATGTGCACATAGAAAGAAAGTCCATTGGTGCACAGCCGGGGATCGAACCTACGACCTCAGGGATGATAGTCGCACGCTGAAGCTACTAGGACAACACTGCTAACAAAAATGAGACATCGTTTGAAATTTCATGTTTGCATACCATCTGATGTTGTTGTATTGTTTGCATTAAACCTCCCTATTGTTCCACACAATAATTTTAATACGGCATGAAATCGTTACAGGTACTTGTACACAAGTGTTCACGTTTCGAGTGGTTCTCTGACCCCAACCGTTATTCATGTCAATAAAAATGAGGGGATTTTTTAAGCTGCGAATCTATAATCGAGAATTGTTACTTTTTTTTAAACTAATACTTTCTAAATGTCACAGACTATGTTTACGCTAATTGAATGTCATAAGGACTGCATAAATGTAAATGCTAATACAGAACGAAGATGGACAGCGTTGCTTAAGCTATAAGTAACTATGTAATTTAAAACCAAATTGTCATTGATTATCGTAAGCAAACTATTCATTAACATACAAATTACTGAGGTGGTGCCGTAAAGTAATAATATTATTACCGGTTAAGAATATGAATAAACCAGTCTAGAAATTCGTATACGGTATTAATCGAATTAAAAGATGAAATCATGTGCACCATAAGTTTACGAACAATACGACCAGTATTTTTCATAAAAAATTCAACATAATGTCGGGTTCGCGAGCGCTAAGTTATTAGTACTTACCAGGTATTTTCAGCTTACTTCGCCTCTGGAATGATGCTGAAGTGTTGGAGATGAAAATATAACCTATATACCTACTTAATTATTACAGTGATTGCGTATATGTTTTTCATTTACTTGTTTTGTCTATCTACATCTACGCACGACGTTATCAAGAATTATGTATTTATTACGCCATTACGATATTTAATCATCACTTTCTATTTAAATGATAATTGCAATGTGGAATATAGACTTATTATTCAATAATGATTGTTTTCTTAAAACACGTGTCGCCAATAAATAAGTGTGACAAAGCATTGTTTTAATATTTAAGATGTATGATGTAGAACGTATATTTTATTAATTTAAATAGCGAAATATAATTGTTAAATTGTACGAATATTTTTAATTATTAAAGTTTTTGATTTAATATTGAAATGCAAAAAAATAAGGTTATTTTAATAATGAGTACTCATTTATCAGTCTTATTGCACTGTTTTAACGTATTCATTCATCCATCACAGAATAAACACGATTTGACAGAAATATCTAAAGACAATTGACTCTCCTTGACAGCTAAGATATGTTTTACTGGCGGTTTTACTGGCCGAATTTCGTTATTCTTAACCTCAAAAGTCCAAAATAAATGCTTTAAATGAATATTTGTTAAAAACAGGACACACAAATATTAATAAATGTGCGAAAAATTAACCATGACATTTATACAGTTCTATGTATAGATATAAAGTATTAATTGCAAATGATACACGACTTATTAAAATCTCAGCGGGAATAGAACCCGGCGCTATGTTGTACGTGCGTCCGCGCACGTAGGCCACAAAATGGAGTAGCTCCACTATCACACGACACGAGATTTAGAAAGTTAATTTACTAACGCTAGATAAGAAATCATCCTAATGGCCCAAACATATGGTTAATAATAGAAATCACGTTAAATGTGTCTTAATATTTAATTAAGATAGTTATATTGTTAGTTCTGAATTTAATCAAAGTCTAAAGAAATAACGTAAAATTTGATACAGAAAATATGATAAAAATTAAGTAATAAGATCATACAAAACCTACAATAAAAGTAAAGTTGAATCGAAAACCGGTATACGAGTACAAATCTTTAATGCGTGTTAAATATAATTCATACGTACTAAGTATTTACATTACTTACATATTCTCACAAACTACCTTCTACCCAGCGCAGCACGTAATATCTAATGTTAACATAATTCCTAATTAATCAAAGGTTACCCATGCTTTCGGAGTTTAAATTATGAGTAATTAATGCCCCATGATAATAAGTAAACACTAGAAAATACATTAAATTATTAAAGATCTTGTATCTATTTTAATCAGTACTCAAGTATGTCTAAATTAGAAGTAACACTGCAAAATTACAAAATTAACTTAAAGCTAATTTTTAAGTTCATGAATTACACTTTATAAATCAATACAAAAGAATTATAAAATACTAGAATTACAAAAGTCACGATTGAGCAGGATATAGGATATGGCTAAAAAGTCTACATGAGTAGAAGACTTTTAAGAGACCTAGCCAATCATATGGAGTCAGGGAGCGTATTCCACTTTATGATGGTGACGTTTGACCCACGGTTGATCCTAAATGACTTGCGTAAAAAGTATGAGCTGTAAGTTAAACTCATTATATAAATCTATTTATACATTTATATAATTGTTTATAATACTGGTATGTTGCCAGAATCTAAATAAAAAGAGGGACTGCAATATAAAAACCGTGCTTCCGAAACATATTTCTCCGTTTTTTAATTGTTATGTTATGTGTGCAGTTCAAGCACCAAAGTATTTTGACGTTATGCGTTACGTCAAAAATTTGCAACACAATGGAAACGCTCAGTTATCGCGGGTGTAATGCGAATTGAGCTGGTTCCCATTCAGGTCGAGTTGGCGACACGAGACAAGCTATGCCTGCTGAATTTACATTATTATACCTATAGCTGATAACATTTTTAGGCATTTGGCCGTAAGCCCTGTCGGAGGTTAACAGGCAGAATACCTATATAGTCTACCTATTCAAATTTAATGACGTGGAGTAAGTGATACCAGTATCTGATGTTGCATAATTAACATATTTTATTTAATTTTTTTAATACAGAATACCGTATAAGAAATTTAATAATATCAAATATACAAATCATTTTACTATTCGGACGCTAATCACAATAATTTTTTAAGTTTGACATAAGCTAATTATATTAAGATTTCATTCAAAGGAAAAACTATACACAACCCTAACTCTATGACACTTTTTCTTTAGTTCTGACAGCTCCAACGCATTGTTAAGGATCTACAGTATTTGTACCTAATATGTATAAAGTATTTGACGTATTTTAACAAACAACAAAAACACCTTATCTATATTTTGTCTCTTACGGCAATATTAAGATATTTAAAATAAATTACTACCGTGTGTTCAAGGTTATAATGCTATTGTTAACTTGAAGATAATATAAAACTTCTTTTTTGAAGGGTTAATTTAAGTTTGTTTAAAATATTTTTTTATCAAATACATTCATAACCTTACTTTTAATAAAAGTTAGAATTAATTTCCAATAAAAATATTATTGACGTAAAATCACTTATGTAAATCGTAGATCGTATGATCAAGATATATCAATAATATATGTAGGTATAAATATTTGATATAATATTACAGAGGGGAATAAATATTATTTTAAAGTGATACACATTTTTATTTATTTAATTGCCTTTTTCAGATATTTATTAATATATGTATATAATATGCTAAAAGAGCCACATCAAAGTACTTGATACTATAGACTTAAGAAAAAGAAAAAAAGTACATAAAACAGATTGAAAGAAATAGAGAAAAAATTATATAAAAATAAACAAACGGAGCAAAGGAATCATACCAGATTGTCCGAGAAATAACTTTTTTAAAAGTAGACATTTTAAAATGATAGTAGCCTGTTTGTTACCATGGAGATATCATATAACTAGACCATGTTTTATAATAAGGGTCAAGTGTAGCATACAAATGGATTGATATTGCTGAGAACCAATCAATACGTTATGTAAATGACGCGTTAATTGGATTCAAATTCGCGTTTATATCGTTTATGGAATTATTTATTTAAATGTGTTGTCGAGTAATAGAAAGACTATAGATATCTTCGAATAGTATCTCGTTTTAAAGTAAGTTTTCATAGGAATTCCATCAAACAGTCAAGGGGCTTCGTTTACAACGTATTCTACACAAAAACGCATTCTACGCATGCCGATCGATGTGGATATATATTTACCGGATGGTGCCATAACGTCACTGTAGAATGATACCTCGTATGTCAAAAAACCATTTGTTTTTTATTCTTAGACTCTTATGTCATTGAACTGGTATAATCATGAAGTAAGGACTTATTTATGTTATAAATAAGTCCTTTTTACTATCCAAAACTATAGACAAAAATAGCTAAGTTATAATATTTTAACGAACATTGACGAAA